AAAACAAATTAAATATAATTAAAGAAAAAACATTCATAATAGTTAACAGAGAAAATTAATGAAAATTAAATGTATTTTAAGTAATTAAGATTCTAATGAAAGTTCATTTAAACAATTTTTTTTTCTTCAGAACATTAAAGCAGTATTTTGTATGGGATGGAAGAGCTTGAAAATTTCTGGATGGTAGTCTTCAAGGATATTTATTGAGCAAGCAGATTGTTTAGGCTCCTAAAAAATTTAGGTTGCTATCATCTTCCAGAGTGGTTTGAGTTTAATGTATTTGGAAAAGATCAGGCTGCTTTCTTTTCCAGTATAAACTTTGCTTTTGGAAGTGCTGTTTTACAGATTAGATCAAAGAAGAAACAACATCCCACCAAAGAAACATGTCCCTAGAATAGAAGATGCAGGTTTTGCTGGCAGTTCTTTTCATTTCATTCATGACCAGGACAGCATTCAAGTGCAGTGGCTATGTCATTGCTGTTAAAATTACATGATGGGTGAAGAAACACAGACCCAACATTCTGTACCTGCTCACAGATAAACTGTTAAAATTACCCGTGGCCTTTACATTGTAAGATCTTTTTTCTTGTATAATGTGGAGAATAATGGGTCTATTTTACTAATTTTCCTTTGTCTATGGTTTGGAAAACTACAGAAAAAAACTATTTTGTAACTGAAAAGTATTTTCAGCTTTCAGAAAGCATGGTACTGTAAAGTGTTGGACGAATAGGAAAGAATCTTCCCTTTGCATCAGTGGGCTGCTGAGGTTTTTCCAGCCTTTCAAAGCGGCTACATTAAGGATGAGAATACTGACATTTGAAAGCCCTCTTGCCTGGTGATGCAGGGAAGTGCAGACTGACTTCTCTCTTCCCCAGCCATGCCCAGCTGCCTTCACATTTCAGCAGAGGCACCCTTGTCTTTCAGCTTAGCAGAGAAAGAAAAATGGCAGAAAGGGAAACCTTGGTCATTAAATTTTACCCGAAATATGTATGTCGATTTTTGAATAAGTAGCAGCCTTTTAGCTGGTTGTTTGTCATCCTCCTGTTTCACTGTGTCCCCCAGACAGGGGCAGTGAGGCAAGCCCAGGGCACCACGGGTGCCTTCAGAAAGCTGCCCCCAGCCCATGAGAATCTGTTGTGCTGAGGGCAAAGGCTCTGCTTGCAGCCCAGTGTCTGGCCACCTGCAAATGCCCTGACCCACAGCATGAACCCTCATGTCTCTCCTCTTTTCCCCAGCCCACATGGGGTAAATGTCTTCCATGGCACAGCCAGGGGGATGCTGTGATGCCATCTCGCTCCAACCGAGTATTCCTGGCTCTGTTATCACTCTCTTAAAGAAGTGAGTGTCAAAGCCATTGGTAAAGGAGCAGTAAATAATGGGTGGGGTCAGCCTGAAAGAGAAGCTGGTTACTGCTTGTTCAACACAGGATCATCTTCACACAGGCAGGCTCAACTTTTCACCGCTGTCCTTGTACCTTCTGTGGTCCAGCAACTTACAGAGCCTTTGAGAAAGATTATCAATTTTAATGATAGTACAGGGGTAAACCAGCAATTTAAGTTCAACTGTCACTCTAATATTAGTACTAGCTTGCTTCATTTAAGCTGGCTTTTGTTCTGTGCTATTTTAAAAACTCTTAGTAACTTCAAATGCTAAAATACAGGTGCTATTACTGATTTTTTAAAGCTGTTCAGTTACACTAACATTGCAATTCTTCAAATATTCCAGTCTAATTTTACTATTGAGATGAAGTTTGGGTTGTAGCTCCACAAGAATCAGTTCTGGAAAAGCAGAAACCGGGTTGCAAGCAGTTCCTATCAAGCAGCCATTCAGATAAATGTGCCGCCAATTGCTTCACAAAAAGCCAAATTGTTATTTTCAATAACTAACTCCTGCACACCATGTTTACTGGTTGCAACATCGAATAATAAAAAGTCATCCAAGGCTGAGGATTTTTATACCGAAAAAAAGATATGGAAAGACTGATTTCTTTTTCATGCTGTATGTACTTTGAGGAAAGTAGTTTTAAAGAATTTACTGTATAAAATTTTCTTCCTGCTCTTAAACACAGAAGAGTAATTTTGAGAGACATTTCAGATACTGAAATTGGTAGATTACTAATGTTCTTAAGGGTTTTTATTCCTCATATAAATCATACACCAAGCTCCTTTAGCAGTCACAGAGGTTATGGGCAGTGCTGAATGATTTGTCTTTTCCTTACTAGCCTAACACATAATTTTGTGTATATGAATGATATGTGAACATCCTTCCTTATAAGAAATGTACGGTTTTTCAACAAAACCAATGGACATTTACTACAGCATCTATGATATTTTGCTTTTCCTTCCCTCCTTTATTAATTTTTCATGCATTCAGGTGGTGTGAAATTTCTTGGCATACTGGAATACCATTGTGAAACTCAAGGAATTTTCGTGAAGTCATATTACTTCCCTTAAAATATAGAAACAAACTTCTACCAGCCATACTTTCTAGGGGAAAGGAAAAATAAAAAAAACACCCCAAGCAACAGACCAATTAAAAAAAAATAGATTTCTATGCCCATGACTGAAAGCTGCTTTTGTCCTTGTAATTCTGTGATCGTGGGTTTTGGCAGTCTAACAGCACAAGGTGCTGTTTGTGGAGTGGCAGTGTTTACTGCCTTGAAAACCAGACTCCAGATCCTTTCATCACTCTCTGATAAACTGGTTAATTACATAAGCTGGGTCATTGAACTAGTACTCCATAACCACTGGGCTAATAATAGTGGGTCACAGCCCTTTCATAGCCTGTGGTTTTGGATCCTAACATAAATGTTTTAATCCTTCTACGGCAACTTATCTTGAGCATATGTGTGCAAATTTCTCTTGCCACTCATCCCTGGGGTGTTTCAGCTGGTGCCTTCACTTCCACTCACCGCTGTTTAACCAAGATTGCTACAGGGCTTTCTGTTACTGCATTACCCCTGCACAAACAATTATTACCGAGTTTCAGACTAAGATCATTTTCTCAGCCAGAGATCATTACTTAAAATGTCATTTTTCTCCTCTCTTGCTGAATACAATACCATCACCCCTATCCAAGGACTTGCCAAGCTATGTTGTGTCTCTCAGGCACCCAGTGTGTTTCAAGACATCAGTAACGGCAGCAAACTCTCTCAACAAGCTAGAATCACTCCTTACATCTACAAAAGAATTGGTGCTATAAGTATCTCCTGGCTAATTATGCCTGAATCTGCTGTCTCCCAAAGGGTTGAGCAAGTGATTCTGCCCAATCTTAAAGTCTAAATATTCCTCAGATAGTGGAGCTGCAAGTGTTGCTTTCATATTGCTGGAGATCACCTGCTCTTGGTTTCAATGCTTGACTCTTGAGATCTTTTATTTCTAGCATAGAGTTTTGCCAACCTATGCATGAAGGTGGTTCGTGGTTTCTTACTCCATTTGGCTGTATCTTCTCCTAGGCATTCATTTTAAATTTGAAACACAATTATTCTAATTCCAATGCTATCCTCATGACTCATGCAGAATTCTTGGAAAAATAAAGATACAAAAACCCCTCTGTGCTATCCTGCAGTCAAACCCCATATATAAAACTGCAGGGGTCCATCTTGTCTTTACTTTACACTTGCTTGTAGATCTTCAGGGCCTCTATTAAAGATTTAATATCATAGCATATATTTAATAGCATTTATTTAAAATGCTTGTATCTATTAAAGATACAAGCATTAAAACTGCTTGTATCTTTTACTTTTGTACATATTTGCCTTCTCCTTTTTACTAGGTTCCTTGGTCTGTCCTGGGGAGTATTCCCAGACCTGCTAATCTGCCCTTCTGAATCCAGACTGTTTATGTTACCAGGGTTCAAAGGACCCATCCTCATCTGCAAGGGATGAGTGGATCCTCCAGCACTGCAGTTTTGAATGGTAGCTCATCCAAATTGGACTGCATCTCCCTCTGGCACCCATCTAATAACCACAGACAATAGTTTCTTTTAGCATGTGACTCTGGACCATATGGCTTTTGTTCTTTCAAAAAAGGCCCCGCAGACACCATTTCCAGGGGCCTTAACACATCTCAGTTCTGCCGGTATGCACAGTTCATTTGCCGTGGCTGGTGCTTCTTTTGGGTTGCACATGAAGCATTTTGTGGCTGCACAGGCTGTTTCAGGCAGGTGATTTTCATCTGCATTGGTCCACTGGGGGTGATTTGTTTTCACAAGGAGCAGTACCAGGTAGACAGGGATCATTCCAAACCCCTCTGTGTCAGTAATCAAGACCCTGCTTTGCTAGCTGTCCTGTGGTTTGTGCTGCTTTACCCATTTTACCTGTCACTTCTCTGTAAGCTTCTCACTTATCTTCCTGAAAGAGTTGTGATCCCCACCCTCCTGTCTCCTATCCTCTCTGTTTTCTCCAGCACCACTTGTAACAGTTACCTTAGCTAACTCAGTTTTCTTTTTTCTCCTCACACCGTGATATCTGAAACTTCTTTCTTCAATCTTTCCTAGCACCCTCACCATCCTCTCCTAGCAGCAGCAGGCTTTAGCCCTTCTGCAGCTAAGGTACACTCCCCAGCCTTGTACTCCCCAGCGTGATCCCCACAGCATTTTTTTCCTCCCCTAATGCCCTGCTCTTATCTTCACATTGCTCTCACTAGCTGCCCAACATTCCTCCAGCCCAGGCCACCCTCCCTGTTAACTCCTCCCTTCCCATAAACAATCCACTCTTCCCTCCACTCATAAACTTACACAGCTTTACTTAAAAGACTCTCAAAAGCCTTACATGTGTAGGCATGAGGATATAAATGTACTGCCTGTTCTTCTACCATAGAAGCCATGGTCTCCTTCTAAACCATGGCTGAACTGGCTGCTGGATTTGAAAAGACCTTCACAGTCCTGCTTTGGCATACATGACATGGGTTATGACCTTTTTACCAACTTGGTATTTGAGTGTTCTTGTCCGCTGTGTGTGACAGTGATACAACTTCTATTTCTGCTCCACTCAGGCTCCCACATTCTTGTTCTTATAGCCTTGGTTGTTGAGTTCTCCACATTCTCTACCAACCTGTGGCATGAAATACATGGTGTTTGCAGGACTCATATGGTGCAGAGTGGATGAATAAGAACAGGACTGATTTTTAACTTCTTTTACTAAACAAAATTGAAAGAAACATAAAAATTGCTAACATTTGTGTTGTGCTAAGCATTTTTGGGGGTTACGTTCATGTGTTTCAATATGCACAAAGCCTCAGGGAGGAGACGATTGAAGAAGAAACAATTTTCAACTGGACTCTCAAATGGTAGGTGAACTCTTCCATATGGTGCTCATTGTGGTTTCTATGTACTATTTGACCTTCATATTGCTCTTTATATAATTCTGTTTCATAGGAAAACACTCTTTATGTGGTGTAATCAAGATGGTCTTCTAGCACAATTCAGTTTTCATGTAGTTATGTGTACACAGCTATGTATTGGTGAAATGTTGTTTTGTAAGGTGGCCTTAGTTTTTCAGCAACTTTCCAACCTACTCATATCTCAAAGCATTTAGTTCCCCTTATCCTTTAATATCCCAAGAGTCCGTAGCAGCTGTGTTTTGCAGCGTAAATAGTCGCGGTCAGCAGCAGTAACCAGGATTTCCTGTGCTGGACATTGTCCACTTGCAGTAAAAATTAAGTGGAACTGAAGTGGTTTGTAGGCTCTTTTAGCTGCATCATGAGAACTGTAATTGCATTCCTCATTTAAAACTTTTGATTATTAACAAATCTGTCAAGACATTAAAACCACTTTGCAGTTTCATTAATTCTTTCTTAAGCAGGGAAGAGCTTGGGATGGAAACTACAAGTAAAATGGCTCTGAAGTAAGAAGAAAGTTTTAAGTTCTGTTGTGAGGCTTTAACGAATCTGGAGGGGGGGCTGTCTATTGTTTGTTAGTCCTGTAACCAGCTCTACAGGGGGCCTGCTCATGAGCATTGCTACACAAAAGTAAATTTCATTGTGTTCTTTATCTTGTCTGTGTGCAGTTTTCCATTCACTTTTATCAAGATTGATCAAACCTTTGGAATTAGTGAATTTAACCCAATTTCCCATGTATGGAAGCAGTTTCAGTTTTTTATTACTTGCCATCACAATTATCTTTGGCTTACTCTTTGCAAATATCCTCTGTAATGTGCTAGTTTTCAGCTGTTCCTAATAGACCTAAAATTATTAAGACAGTATTTTGTGCTATACTGCTGCCAGTTTTGACAAGGAATATACACTGAATTTGCCTTGTATTTTACACATGCTTTGATCAGCCAAACTGATTTTCTCTCTCTGCCATTTTCCTACTGTTGACACATGTGCAATTCTGGAAGCCCGAGGTTATTCCACAACCTATTCCCACTTGTAACTAAAATATTGGGTGTAACTCACCAGAGATTATTCCTTGCAGGTTTGTTTTGTAGGACCCCAGATGTCTTACTGGTATTTATGGGTGGAAAAAACTGCAGTGTATCTCTCAGTTTACCAGAGCATTCTGATTTATGGTGGTTCGTTCACCAGTTAACACAATTTGATTTGGGAATTCCAAAGTAATAGAGAAATTGCTACAAATCAGGTAACTTGGTCATCTTAACCAGCTACAGATTTTTTTAAAAAAATATTAGAAAATATTTTGTTGATGAAAATGGTAATCAAAAAGTCACACCTATTAGTATGGAAATTAGTATGGTTTACTCTTTAACTGTTTAATACAGGCTAATCTGTGAGGGTGGACATTTAAAGTTCTTAGGATCAGTAATAATATAGTACTGCCAGTGGAGAAGCTGTTAACCTAGAATCTCTTTCTTTCTTTTGAGAGAGAAGAGAAAGACTAGAGATAGGGAAGGTCAATATAGCTAATTGCTTATGAATTCCCTGTGCTCCTTGCCTTTATATCCCTGCTGCTCAAGACAGAATGCCTTTTCCTTCTGAGGTTTCCTTATGGAGGTTAATATTACAAAGTTAAAAGGCGCCTTGTGAATGGGCACAAAGATGTCACAAGAACTAGGAGAGTTTTTGTTACTTTTTTCATTTCTTTTCTGTCTTTTTGTGGGATGAGATTCACATGTAGTTTGCTTTTATGATTTTTATTTGAAGGTGGCTTTGAATTTTGGGGGGGATTTATCATATGCATAATCACACATGTATCTAGCAACATGCCTGAAGTCTGTTTCACTTTCTTTCCAACAATGCATTTTAAACATGGCACACAAATGAGTATTGACACTGAGAAGTCAAGCCTGGATTAGTTTGCATCTTGTAGTCCTGTTTAATTTTGGATAACATTCTGAAAACAAAAGGTATCATTTAGTTACTCATCTGCCTAAAAAACTAATGATTCAAAGGGTGCCAGCAGAGACTTTGTCCTGAAAACTGAAACTTGCTGTTAAAATTTGCCAGATTATTCCTTAAAAAAACAAAAGAAAACAAAAACAAACAAACAAAAACAAAAAAAACCACACCAACTCCACCCCCCCCAAAAAAACATGTAAAAAAGGCAGAATACTGGCAGTCGTTATCAGAAGTGTGTGAATTTCAGATAGCATTTTCATTGTGGAACCATAAAATGCCCACCTTTCCTTATGGAAAACAAGGGTATATGTTTCCTGGCTGTGATAGCCAATGATTCTGTCCCCACAAAAATTTCGTTTTGTTTTATTTTACAGTTGGCATATTCTCTTACAGCAAGAATATATACTAGCATTTTGTAAAATATTCTGCTGTACATTCATTAAATGCCCTTCTCTTCATTTAGTATGCTGCCATCATTGGCTTAATAGAAGCACTGTAATTTGAACTCTTCTAACAGCTCATTTGATTTTATTTCTTTTTAATAACCTTAAATCTCACACTTTATCTCTTTAAATTTTACTTGGTTTCGTTTTTTACTTAGTTTGATTCTTCTTTTGCATTGGCAAAGAGCCTCAATGTTTCCTCGCATCGACTGCAAAGGTTATTGGTCCATCAGGGCTTTTATGTGATACCCACAGATTCCTGGGGTTCACCTCATAAAACTAAAGATAAATTCAAGAAACTGCTTGAGTGTACTTAACTGTAGACGTAAGAATTAATTCTGATTACAGAGAGAAACTCCGACAGTGTTCGTTTTCCATCAAGCCCTTTCTACCATGCACACTCCTCCCAAACTGCAATAACAATTTAATTGTATTTCAATTTCAAGGGATCTAGCTATTGCCCTCATTCTATAGGTTCTCTAGATAATGATGCATAATATGTTTCTGGGCAAACAGAAGCCCAAAACAAGAAACTGAAAAAAGAAAGGGCAGCTTAGTTTGCAGGAAGGAATGTTTGATTCCACTCTGCTTAAGGCTTAACATCAGAAAACCCCAAAACACCTAGAACCTCAAAGACTATGTTCAGTATGTGTATAGCTGAAACCAAGAGTTTAGCTGTGGTTTTTTTTTTCAGGCTTGGCAGGTGGATGGCACCCCAACCAGACCCCTGAAAAGGTCACCTACTTTAAGTACCACATTTCATTCACCCAAATTCTAGAATTAATTTCCCTGAACCCCCACCCACAGTATTTTCCTTTTATTAAAGTTTGCCTTATTTAATTATTCTGACTCTTCCTCCAATCTTTCTTCTCAGTTCTAGGGTCTTTTATTTAATATTCACATTTATGCCATTTTATTAACCCTAATAAATTTAGCCATATGGCTGATAATATTCAAACTCCTTTTTTTGAGTCTCACTCCTATTCTCCATTATCAGAAGTCCTCTTGCTTTGAATGTGAAGTCATCATAGCTTTGCATCTTTCAGCATATTTTTTCCTTTGGCTTTGATTTCAACTCATAAATTTCCCTACAAAGCTTCCAATATATGATTTTTCTTTATGCTCTGATATTTGCCTTTACTTACTTTCACCAATATGCTTTAGAAATAAGAATTTTTACTGGTAGTGGCTAAAAACAAACTATTATATATTCTTCTCTCATATCTAGACACATACTATTTGTAGTAAACTGAATTAAAGGGAAAGAAAAAAAACAAAACATGGGAACAAGAATACAAATTCTTGTTATACAAATACAAACGCCTTTCCAAGGTACCTTCTAAAATGCTGTTGACAATGAGGACAGCAGCCTGGGTGGGCAACAACCTGGTCCTGTGTCTGTGCTTTAGCCTTCCCAGCAAGCCTGAGCCTATGGCAGCTTACAACCTGCATGGCACATTGGATTGGGTTTGGGTCCCTTTATAATTTTAATATATAGTGCAGCTCTGCTTCCTGGAGACTGCAGCAGTGTCCACCTCTGCATCTGAGCAGTCAGGCTCTCAGAATATATACATGTAGTTAATTTGCAAGGAAATGCTTTATCTCCTCAAATCTCTACTACATGTCACAACTCTGGTAAGCAAAGAAATTTTTTTCCAGTTTTTTTTTTTTTTTTTTTTGCCTCAATAAGCATTTTGTTCCCCTTTCTTAATGTACAATCACTGTGGAGGTATCTCTGCGGTTATTTTTGAAGATATCTCATATTTCCTCCTGGTTTCAGACAGGGAGAAATCTATAATGGGAGTTGGTAGAAAATTTGATTCATTGGCCTGTTATTCTGCCTAAAGCCGCTCTAACTCTGTCCAGCAAAATGGAATTGGACCAATTCCTGGGAAAATTGCTGGTATAAGAGTCATGTGAAACTAGGGTAGTGCAGTACATCAGACCTGTTCTCTTTTTAGTTGTTTTCCTGCATTGCTGTTGATGCTGCTCCTAGCGGTGCATTTAGTAACTCCTACCATTCTGAATGCTGTCTTTGTAGATTTCCTGGGTGCCTCCAATGAACTTTTGAGCAGACATCTAATAAAATGTTCTGTGGTTTGTTATTTACATAGCATTTAGCTATCCCTTTGTAACCTTCACTAATATAAGGGAGACCAACACTTTCTGGTAAGCAGCACACTGAAACAAAGCTGTATGGCATGCTGTATCCAACTGTTAAAGAAAAGGAATCATTATTCAGTTGTAGGGGACTTCCACTACAAAATAAGGAAGATAATTCTTACTTTTTCCTTGTGTGATTTTTAGTTTTCTTGGGTATTTTTTTGTTTTTTTTTTCAAGAAGCATGGTCAATTTCAGCAGTTGCCATGGGCAGTGCCATCAACTTTCAACATTTTGTCTTAATTCTCTTGCCATTTCTGGTTTAGATAGTTTGTCTTTGCAGATGTTCTATTTTGTGAGGGTTTCTTTACTTCAAATTACAGGAATAGAAGTGCTGGGAATGGAGTCATATTGACAAGTTCCCCAACACAACATACAAAGGATTA